ATGCTAGTACTTTTATTTATATATTAGTAGTACAGGCTACATTGTCATGAGTGGAACTATTAGGTTGAAGGGTATACTGTATATATTTAATGTGAAGAGATGTTACAAGATGACCTTATAAAAAGAAATGATTTCAGTATCTAGCAACAAGGTATACACATACGTTTTTCCTAGCGTCTCTGCCAGAAATGGACGTTTTTAATTTTTAAAATACCTTAATTGAGATACAATTCAGACAATGTAAAATTTGTACTTTTAACATGTACAATTCAACAGTTTTAGTATATTCACAGAGCTTTGCAATGATTACCACTAAGTTTAGAACAACTTTGTCACTCCAAAAAATGAAACCCGTACCCATTCAGAAGTGAGTCCCCATTTCCCTACCTCATTCCAGTCCTAGGCAACCACTAATCTACTTTCTCTCTATATAAATTAACCTATTCTTGACATTTCATACAAATGACACCATACAATATATGGTCTTCTATGACTGGCTTCATTTACTTAACATACTGCTTTCAAGGTTCATCCATGTTGTAGCATATATCAGTACTTCATTCCCTTTTATCATTGAATAATATTCCATGTATGGAAACACTTATTTTACTTATCCATTTATCAGTTGATGAACATTTGGGCTGTTTCCACAAATTATTGGCTATTATGAATAATGCTGCTGTATAAGTTTTTGTGTGGATGTATGTTTTTATATACCTAGGTTGGAATCACCAGGTCATATGGTAACTCTACATTTAAACCTTTTGAGGAACTGTCAAACTGTTTTTCTAAAGTGTCTTTTTAATTTTTGCCAATTTGAAGGACATAAAATCGTTTCACTGACTTTGTAATGCACACTTCCTTACTGAGTTTGAGACTCTTTCCTTTCGTCCATTGGTAATTTAGGTTTGTTTTCTCTGAATTGCTTTTCATCTCTTTTGTCTTTTTTGTCTACTGAGTTGTTTTGTTTGCTTTTATAAACTTCTAAGAGTCTTGTGTATATTTTGGATATTAACTAATTTACTTTTGTCTTCTTTGTAAACATTTTGTCTTGATTCTAACATTAGTCCTTTAATGTTGTGGTATTTTGTGTTGTACACAATATTCTATTTTTATAGAGCTGAACATATCTTTCGGGTTTTGTGTTCACTAAAACATTCTACTTTACTTCCAGATTAAAATGCAGTTGCCTAGATTTTCTTCTAAAATTTTTATTTATTTTACTCTAAGTCTTTAATCTATAGAAAACTTACATCATATACAGTATGAATTAGAAATTTAAGCAGTTTTCTACTGAAATGATATATTGTCTTAATCATATATTAAATAATGAAATAAAATGAATTTTTTCTTTGGATTATCTATTTTAATATCTTTCAAATCACAGGTCAGGACACTTGCTGCTTTTAAAATCAACTTAGTAGGCTTTATTTGGACTTTTAAAAATATAAAATAGAAAAACAAAATATCAGTATGCATCATATATAATGAGGGTAAATATATCATGAAATTTTTATTTCTAACACAAACATATAAACACATATATCAAGGGTCATAATGCATGTAAAATGCATTTCTTATTGTGAATTGTAATGAATGAAGTTTGAGATCCACTCCACCATTGTATTCCACTAATCCATTTGTCTATTCCTTTGTCCATACCATGTGTGTCTAATTCAAGTGGCTGTGTTCTGGTAAGGCCATCTCCCTTTTAGCTACTATTAGACATTTGTTCTTCCACATGAACTATGTGGTCAATTTTTTCTTAACATTAAAAAAGTCATTTTGCCTCCATTTTAATTAGGATTGCTAATTTGGAAGAAATTTTACTTTTATGGCATTAAGTTCCCTGCACCCACCAAGTACTGGTATGCCTTTCTGTTTATGAAGCATGGTGTGTTTCTATATTTCTTATTATACAGGTCCTGTGCTTTACTTGTTAAATTTATTCCTAAGTATTTTAATTAAATTTTATTTAAAATTTTTTTTTCGGGGCGCCTGGGTGGCGCAGTCGGTTGAGCGTCCGACTTCAGCCAGGTCACGATCTCGCGGTCCGTGGGTTCGAGCCCCGCGTCGGGCTCTGGGCTGATGGCTCAGAGCCTGGAGCCTGTTTCCGATTGTGTGTCTCCCTCTCTCTCTGCCCCTCCCCCGTTCATGCTCTGTCTCTCTCTGTCCCAAAAATAAATAAAAACTTTAAAAAAAAAAATAAATAAAAAATAAAAATTTTTTTTCATGTTTATTTTTCAGAGAGAGAGACGGACAGACAGAACGTGAGCAGGGGCAGGGCGGAGAGAAGGAGACACAGAATCCAAAGCAGGCTCCAGGCTCTGAGCTGTCAGCAAAGAGACCAACGCTGGGCTCGAACTCACTAACCATGAGATCATGACCTGAGCCTAAGTCAGATGCTTAACCGATTTAGCCACCCAGGTACCCCCTAAGTATTTTATAGTTCTTTCTCACTGTTGTGAAAGAAATTTTTTTCCATTTCCATTCTTTGTGCTTACTGTAAATACAGAGAAGCTATCAGTTTTACTTATATCTGGCTATCTTACCAGATTCTTTTATTAATTCTATTGTTTATAACTTGAATCTCTGTGTTACCTAGATGTACTATTATATTTGCTAGGACCCTTAAAAAATGGAAATTATTTGGCAGTATAAAATGGCATCACTGAGAATCTTACTTAGCTCCTGACTGTAAAATGCTATTTAAGTAACATACACAAGAAATTACTCAGAATACTGAGACCCATTACTCTCTCTTCCACTTCTCACGTTGCTCCTCATATTACAGTCCCTGTCCCTGCTCCTCCTCTCCTACAGCTTCTAAACTACGCTACTAGTGAGAGGCTCTGGCTTCTCATGTCTTGGCAGTAAGGAAAAGAGGTGCTGCTCGCTCTCGGTGAACCATTAAAAATACATATCTGGCCATTCAGGTAAATGCATACATGGCACAAGGTAAGATGCTGAAAGGAGTGTCAAGAAATCAAGAGTGTCCTGAAATAAGAGATCTCAAATAAGAGATGAAAGGCATGTGAATAAAGCATGTTATTTCAAACAGAAATGGTACATGCTCCAAAACAGGCATAAATTAAGCATGATTCAAGATTGGAGGAAAATAGTTACTTATCGTATAAGAAGAGTTAACAGTAGAGGTTACACATATACAACAATTACGCCATAATTTGGATATAGTACTGATTAAAAAGCTTTTGAGGGACTGGGTGAACCTAATTATCACATGTATTACTATTCTCTTACAGGAAAGAAACTGCTTTCAAATAATTCACCTGTAGTGAACTGCTAGCAACAGAATTCATATATTTCTTAAAGATTGCTTGGACACATAATGGTAACAGTCCTACAATTGTAGTACTGTCAATAAAAGGAAATAACAAGAAGAATAAATAAGAGCCTGGTTTAACAGTGTCCATTCCTGATTACCCCTTGAGAACACAATCTTATTCAATAAAAATTAAAAAAAAAAAAACTTATCATGCAAATTTCTTCAAAATTTAAATTTTATAACTTCAGGTACTCTATATTAATGTTTATAATTCAGTGTTAAAGTTAATATAACTTCTTATATTGCCAAAAATATCACAATAAAAATTTTCACCAGGGTAAGAAATTTTCATCTTTGAATTCATACAGTGTATAATAGCAAAATGCAGCTGTTACATAAAGCATAGTTTACTGGTTCATTCATGCTATAAAAATATGACTGACATTTCATCTGGTCAACCATCCTAAAGGTTAATTCTTGTTTCCTGTTTCAGATTTTATTCCAGGTGAACTGCTCTGGGCAGATTCTATTTACCTATTCTGAACAAACCACAAACTGTTTCATTGCTCACTCTTACTGTTAAGAACATATTGACTTGCTGCCTGCTCTGCTGTTTAATTCATTTATGCTGAGAGTCAGGCATGAAGACAGAATTTTAAATGTGACATTTGCAGGCTGTTAGGTCATTTAAGCTCTGACAACACTAGGGAATTCCTGACATATAAACTGGACCTGATTACCAAACACAGATAGGCTTCCCAAGGCAGCAAATTTCTGTTTTGTTTTTTTTTTTTTGTAATATCTCATAGAATTTAATATTAAATTTTGATGTCAATGAAAAGATCTCTATAGTCATCATTTAAAAGTAAAAGCCTATTTCTTTTAATAAGCTCAAACCAGTACTTCTTCTAATCAAACCAAATTAGCTAAGTGAAAATTCTTTTGGTTAACAAAGACATATGGAAAGGCTCATAATAATAATGAACAGGCACTAAAATTCTTACATATTCCGATTTTTAAGGGCTTTTAATCTATAGATTCTGAAAAATCAGGTAGTTCTCAAGGCCATGCCTCTTGTCTCTTGTCAACAGACCATTTAAAATTAGGATCTGTCCAGGGCAGAGCCAGACTTCATATGCTATCAAAATCACACTACAAAATCTTAGTTTAAATACCTACCACACTGCCTTCTCTAAGATTATAGTTATGCAGAAGGGATGATAGAGTCATTATAATTGGGGATAAAAAAAAAAAAACCTGCCCACATGACATTTAGAATTACACTTTACAAGAGCTGATAATGGGGTAGGGTGAAGGAAGTAAGGAAAGACTGTTTTCTTATTTTAGCTACTCAAAAAAATTACACCAAATGACAATTTTTCAGCTCTTTCTCCTTGTCACTAACAAGAACTATACACAATGGTTCAAATGAAAGTTTTCTGAAATTAAGTCTTGTTGTTAAGTAATGAACAAAAGATAATTCTGATTTTACCCTGTATTTTATATAAGAATTCCACTATACACAGCAAGTAGCCTTTTAATATTGTGCTTTGAATGAGACTTTCAACTGTAATAGGTGGAGTCCAAATAGGGATAGATGGCCTGGAATGCCTTTCAGCTATAGCACATTGATTCTGAAAAACCTAACAAACACAATTACTTTTCAAAGATTAAAAATCTTGTTTCTTTCAAAAGAATAAAATGGAAAGCAAACCTGGTGTATTATCTGAGCTACAGGAAGTTGTTCAGCATATTTCAGAGGTTCCATTAGTTCCTCATCCATCCACTCTTTCTTATATCTGAAAAAAGGAGTTAGAAAACACACGACTAAGGTAAATACTATTTTTAAATATGGCAAATATCTAAATATGCCAAATATGAAAACTATTAAAAATCTATAATGTTTCTGAAATAACTAGTATTTATGAAAACCTATGAAAAACCACCTAGTGATAATTTTTAAATGATGTAACCATAAATACATTCAAATTGCATTTAATTACAATGTAATAAGATTAGTTAACATTATCTAATATTCTTGGATTCTGTCTTTTACTCTGAGACTTAAAACTATTTAAGAATTTCCCATTTATAGGGTGTGCTTTTTAATATGGTATTTAAAGGACTTCAAAACCTGGCTCAGAACACATTCAACCTCCATGTCCAGCAACTCCTCCTCTAGGTAACGGTCTGTTGTTGTCAACCACATCCCCAACTACTGGCCACCTGCCAGTGGGCCTTAGCTCCATACCTCTCTGATGCTCTGCATTCTGTTTCCTGTTTGGACCAACCACCAATCCCTCCTTTATTTACTCTTCCTGCAAAGATAATTATTTAAGCCTGTTTAAGCCACACTTTGACCTCCCTGAAGACAAAAACCATGTCTTAGTCTTTCTTGTATATCCAGTGTTTACTTACAATACTCAATAAATGTTTGCTGAATGAATATGTGAATAAAATGAAGACAACAATAACTGAGAGGCTGTTATTTTATATTGAAAAATATTTTCTTTAATATCTCCACTTACGATGAGATGCAGAGTTGACATAAGACCTAATATAGTATAAAATAGTAAAGTGCACAGTAGAAATAAAAATAAAATCTCCCCAAGTGAAGAGAATTAGAAAAAATGTTTTTAAAAAATTGACCCTTTTTTGAAATAGGAAATCATCAGATTTCAAAATAAAAGGAACTAAACGTATTCACCCATTTTTATCTATAAATTATATAGCAACTTATCGACTTAAAAACTGAATTTTAAAAATTAACCTTGATTTATCTTGAAAAATAATCAAAGAGACTAGTCTAGGGCTACCATTAAGGAATCTGATGATGAGAAATCTGGAACCTATCCCCAAAAATAGGCAGATACATAAATAAGGACAAAATTTTGCCTATGATTTAAGAGCTTAAAGAACCTCGTAACTAGATAAAAATCTGTATACCTTGCAGAATAAGTATAAAAGTAATTAATTTGGGGGAATTTTGAAGACTCACTCATGATAAAAAAAAATTGTCTTAAAACATTGCATTATAGGGACAAAACGCAGAATGGTGATTGCCGGGGCAAAGTAGGAGAGAACAGAGAATTATTGTTTACAGGGTAGTTTCAGGAATGCCTGGTGGCTCAGTTGGTTGTGCGTCCAACTCCTGATTTTGGCTCAACTCATGATCCCAGGGTTGTGGGATCGAGCTCCACTGAGCTCCGTGCTGTGTGTGGAGCTTGCTTAAGATTCTTTCTCTCCCTCTTTCTCTTTCTCCCCCACCCCCACTCTCCCCTGCTTGTGGCACTCTCTCTCCTCTCTCTCTCTCTCAAATAAAAAATAATAGTAAAGATTAAAAAAAATAAAGGGTAGTTTCAGTATCGAAAGATGAAAAAGTTCTGGAAATAGATAGTGACGATGGTTACATGATAATGTTAATGTACTTAGCCACTGAACTGGATAGTTAAAAATGATTACAATGGTAAATTTTATGTCACATTTATGTTATGGGCTGAACTGTATCCTCCCAAAATTTGTATGTTGAACGAGTACCTCAAGATAAGACTGATTTGGAGACAGGGTCTTTAAAGAGGTAATTAAGGTTAAATGAAGTCATTAGGGTAGGACTTAATCCAGTGTGATAACATCCTTATAAGAAGAGGAGATTAAGACACAGGCAGACCGAGTAAAGACCAAGTGAAGACACTGAGGGAAGACATGGCCATCTATAATTCAAGGAGAAAGGGCTTTAGAAGAAACCAGTCCTGCCAACCCCTTGATCTTGGACTTTTAGCCACCAGAATTGTGAGAAAATAAATTCCTGTTGTTTAAGCTACCCAGTCTATAGTGCTGCGTGATGGCAGCCTTAGCAGACTAACACATTTTACCACAATTTAAAATGAAATGAAATGAAATGAAATGAAATGAAATGAAATGAAATGAAATGAAATGAAATAAAATAAAATAAAATAAAATAAAATAAAATACATAATAATAAAATAAAATAAAAAGTCCATTATCAAAACCCCATTATTTTAAAATGTTCAATTTCACAATGTATATTTAAAAAGCCTATCGACATTTTTAGGTATATAAAACACATACCAAGCAACAAAAGAAAAATAGATACATCAAATATCATCAAAATTTAAAACTTCTGTGCTTCAAGAAAGTGAAAAAACAACCTACAGAATGGGAGAAAATTTTTGCAAATCGTATATCTCAAAAAGGATTTGTAGCAAGGATATATAAATAACTACCACAATTCAATCATAAAATCACTCAACTCAAATTTTTTCCTTCATCATCAAAGAGATTTCTAAGTGAAACCGACATATATTTGTATTTGTTTTTTTTTTTTTTACTGTGTGTCTGTGGAGGGGAAGAATACAATGACTACTCAATACAGTTTGGTGCCACTGCCTTGATTCCTACAATTTCAATAAATATCTGCTGAAACAAATGAATAAAGATTAAGTCATTTCAGTACTTCTAAGAGTACATACAAATATGAAAAAGGCACTCGTTCCTGTTTATTCCAAAAATCTAAAGTAATAATATATAAGATGGAATACATTTCATTCACAAAATGTCTCTCAATATAAAAGATACAAAAATATTGGAAATCTAGCAATTTGTTTTGAATGACTTTTTAAAAATGTCAAATAGTTGGTATGAAAAATTCCAGACATATTTCTATATATTTTTTGTTATTGTTTTATTTTTTTCTGAAACATCTGAAAGTAAGTTGCAGATATGACAGTTCACATCCAAACACTTTAGTATGCATCAACCAAGGGTAGGTTTGAAAATTTTCTTAATAACTGCAAGACATTTTTAAAAAGTCATTCCAAGCACAATTCACAAGAACTCTTGGTTATCACTTATCACTATGGACTTAGAAGTGTTTTACTTAATGTTTCACAACAAATTACAATTATTTCTCATTTTTAACTTCTTAAAAATGTCTCTCCATCATTTTCTTAATTTATACGTTGCTAGAAGTGTGATATCAAAGCTGATTTTCTTTCAATTTTAATTATTTTCATTTTTTCATTCTTTATTATTTTTTTTAAGTAGGCTCCACGCCCAGCACAGAGCCCAACACAGGGCTTGAACTCCCAATCCTGAGATCAAGACCTCAGCTGAGATCAAGATTTGGACCCTCAACCGACTGGAGCTACCCAGGTGCTCCTAGTTTCATTTTTAATATATTTTAAATTTTAAAATTATTTTTATGTTTTGGCTTGAAGGATTGGTCTTTTTTATACTTCTAAGGTCTAATACATATCTATGTGTCCATATATCCATAGGATATAGCTAAGTCAGTTGTTCTAGATCAATTCTCCCAGGCACACAGGAGATCTTTCAGTATAGAAATGAAGATCTCCTTTTATTTCAGAAAAGTTTATTATCATTTTAAGTGTTATTTCTGTTCATTTTCCATTTGCTTTTCTAGTTCAGCTTCTTGAACTAAATATATTGGATTTTCTCTATCACTCTCTCTCTCTGGTCCTTTTAGCTTTCCTATTTCAGTTTCATTTCCTTGACTCTCTTTCATTTCTATTCTTTATGTCTCTTACTGAACTTTTGGTAATTTCTATCTTCACTTGGGTGCCTTCTGATTTAGTTTTCATTTCTAAAATGATTTTTGTCTTCTGTCGATTTCTTTCCAGAGTTCAATCAGTTCCTGTTTCATACATCTTCCTGTTGTTTGTACGTTTTAGTTGTGAGTTTTGGAACTCTGATTCACGGTGTTCTTCAATAATGCAATTGCTTGCTTAATATAGGCTATTCATGTTCTAGTGTTGTATTTCAGGTTTCTTCTGTTTTGTGGCTTTTCTTTTATTGTTCCTTTCATTCTCTCTCCCTACCCCCACCCCGTGTGTGCGTGTGTAAAAGGTGTTATTTAAATTTTGTTTTCTTATAGCAACTTTATACAGCTCCTGGCTTCTTTTTCTTTTTTTCTTTTTTAAAAATGTTTATTTACTTTTGAGGAGGGGGGGGCAAGGGGCAGAGAAAGGGAGACACAGAATCTGAAGCAGGCTCCAGGCTCTGAGCTGTAAGCACAGAGACTGATGTGGCTCAAACTCACAAACCATGAGATCATGAACTGAGCGGAAGTCGAACGCTTGACCGACAGAGCCACCCAGGCACCCCTGCCTTCTTTTTCTGTTAAAGATTATCTGTACTTGTTTTCTCCAGGATCATCAGTACCAAGTTGCGTTGAGAAGAGAGGTAAGTTAGCTTATTAGGTTTCTCAGTTCAAGAGCACCCTCCTCTGTGAATACAGTGAAGTGTACACTCTTGAATAAATAGTACTTTTTGTGGCGGTGGTGGGTACAGAATTTGTCTTTCTAAAAAAAATTATCTTATTTCTTTTAGACCCTTGTCTTCAGCTGCTTCTTTCTTCCCTTTCACCACCAATCCTCCAAAGGACAAACCCCCACCCTTATGAGGTATCTTCCATTCTCTCAGAATTAGTGCTTTCCCCAAATTGTCACCTAAGGTCACCCACACTTTCAAAGCCCCATCTCCCAAATTCTCTGAGCTCAGGGCTCTGATCAACTAGTTCATGCTTATAGTGTAATTCAGAAAGTAAGAAAACTACAAATATTAATTTCAATGTACACATGGCTGCCATCCTAAGGGAAGTGGGAATTCTCTCTAACAAAATGGTAAGGTCTCTTTCTTAAAGCCATCCTAGTATTCCTTTAATGTTTTGAGTCTCTCCTAAAAGGATATAATTTCTCTACTATCCTTCACTAAGATCTACTTAATAACTTAACAAGTGAGTAATTTCTGCATGGAAAAA